TTAATAAAGATAAAGGCAAAACCTCACCTTAAAAAAAAAAAAAAAAAAAAAAAAAAAAAATAATAATAATAATTATTAGAGATCATTTATTGGGCAAGTAAGTATAAAAAATAATAATCATTGAAATTAAAAACAGCAAAGCAAGTTCAAAATCAAGAACATAAATACTTATTTACTATTACTATTATGTAATACCAATCAAATTATTTCATTTGCATTAATCATACATTCAGTGCGTGAGTATAAAGAACATCTATTAATCATTGGAATTAAAACTGCAAAACAAGTTCACAAATCAAGAACATAAATACTTATTTACTATAGCTATTATGAAATACCTTCAAATTATTTTATTTGCATTAATCATTCATTCAGTACGTGAGTATAAAGAACATTTATTAATCATTTGAATTAAAAACAGCAAAGCAAGTTCACAAAAATACTTATTTACTATTACTATTATATAATACCCTTCAAATCATTTTATTCGCATTAATTATTCATTTAGCCTGTGAGTATAAAGAACATTTATTAATCATTGGGATTAAAAACAATAAAGCAAGTTCACAAATCAAGAATATAAATACTTACAGTCAGACCTCCCTATAATCACCAAGTCCGTCATGCCCTAATGTGGTGATTATATAAAGATGTGACTATAAAGCTAAACCTCTATATAATCACAGTTATATTAAAAATTATTAATGGTGATTATAAAAATTCTATTAAAAATAAGATAGCTATGCACACATACACATAATGCTGCACAGAACCAGGACAATCATATATCTAGATATTTTACATTTCATATAATAAACATTTAATTTATACTCTATGTAGATTGTATAGTGAAGAGTTTATTATCTGGGATAGAGGTTGGAACCGGATTGAAAACTTTGAATTTATCACATCAAAATTCGAGTTTATCACACCTGATTTCGATTTTATCACATCAATTATTAATAATCAATATGATAATATCGAATTCAGGTGTGATAAACTCGAATTTTGATGTGATAAATTCGAATTTTTCAATCTGGTTTCAACCTCTAATCTGGGATTATGTGAAGAGATTAATCTATCGTACAAAGCTTTTATACCTTTAATTATAGTAATACAAAAATTCAAGGATGAAGACTCTAAAATTCTTGGTTCGGGCCTAATATAGTCACAGGATCCTAAAATACAACAAATGTATTGCTTAACAGTTGTGCTAAAATCAGAAACACATGCAATTAAATTTAATCAAGAATATGCCTTGTAAAAGATAATAAATTTTATAAATCATATAATTACTATCAAAGAAAAACTTCAAACCAGAAATTGTTATTATAAGTTAAGAGCTTTATATTTTTGGCTTCAAAGTAGTATCAATATAAGATCCTTGTATATTTGGCCCACTGCTGTAAATACTTTGTAAATAGCTGACTATTGTTGCAAAATTAAATAATCTTATCATATCGTATGTTCGATTTGTTTGTTCTAACTTTTATAGCTTTTGTATGATACTATAGAATATATATTCGTATATACTCTCATTATATAGATATGAAGTTGGGAAGTTAAGATAGAATGTGCACACAACAAATAAGAAAGTTGGATCAATACTAAGAAATATATAGTGTTGAAAGTAGTTATCAATATAGTACTAAAGTTAAATTAATTTAGGAAGTATTAAAAGCTACTATAGATAAACGTAACATAGGTAATTTATATATACAAAATAACCAGAAGGTTATTGATAATGAAAAGTATACACAACCAAGTTTGAAATTGTTATGAATACTTAAGTTAGTAGAAATAGCCAAGCTAAAGTTAAATTTGTTTAAAGTGATCCTCTTTTTATCCTAATATGTTTTTTCATTATTTAAATAAAGTCATTCGATTAAGCAATAATAAATTGTTTATTAATAAAAAAACTTATACAAATAATAAAAAATAAAATATTCAATAATAAAAAATGTTTTATATAAATAATAAAAAATAAAAAATAAAAAATATTCAATCCTTATAAAAAAAGAAGTCAGTTATCACAACCTGTTTTTTTGCTTGAAATTCAAGCCTCTTAACTACTTTAAGATATTTTTTAAATAAATTTATATCTTCTGTCTTAAATTTATCAGTTTGTTGTTGTTCAAAGAATGTTATCCATGTATGTAATGACTTGCTTGTATCGTTTAAAGATATTAATTCAGATTCTTTTTCAGAATTATCAGAATAATTTAGATTATCATTTTTATTATGAATTTCATTTTGAATTAGATTTATAATATGATTTTCATCCAAAATATCTTCAGTTAGAATTTCTTCATCCATACTATAAAAAATTTATTCAATGCATCTACTAATAAATTAGCATAAGAATTATTATGATTTAAATTATCTATGATCATTTGATTAGTATTTTCATTTTCATGAATTAAAGTATTTTGCTAAATTTGCATCACATCAGATATATCATTTTCAGTAACTGTAGGTAATATACACATTTTTCTCTAACAATTAATTATAGTTTCTTCAGATACATTACTCCACACATCTATTACATAGTTAATTACATGTTTAATAGTTAATTTGTTGTCATTTATATCTATACCATCTTCAAAAAAATCTAAAATATGATAACAATAAATTTGTTTATAGTAAGCTTTAAAACTTGCAATAACCCTTGCATCCAAAGGTTGATGATGGCTTGTTATATTGAGTGATAAAAAAACTACTTTAATATGAGTTAAATTAAGGTGAAAAATATTTAGGTTATTTTTTTATTTTTTTATTTGTTATGTATTAATATTTAAATTTATATTTAGAAAAAATAAATATATTATTAATTCTTATTTAGTTTGAAATTATATAATAAAATAATTATTACCATGTGTTGATTTTGTCATTTTAGTATAGTTTTTGCAAAAATTTCTACACAGTCTAGTTAAAGTAGAGCTTTCTCCTTCAAAATTATATTGCTTATCACTTTTATTATTATTATCCTGTTCATTATATGAGTTAAAATGTGAGGGTGCATTGTCAACTAAAAGCAAAATTTTCTTATCCTAACTCTAAATTTGTTGTTTAAATTTTTAAGCACTTCTTCAAATAACAATGAATTCATCCATGCTTTAGGATTTGCACAATAGTAAACTGTAAGTTGATTTAAATTTATTCACCCAAAGGATTTTGGATGTGGTGATTTACCAATTACCCATGGCATTAATTTATTAGTTCCTGTTGCATTAACACCAAGAAGAACTGTTACTCTGGTTTTATTCTTTTTTTGACAAGAAAAGGTTTTGATAAGAGGGTTTGATTTGGCCATATTCAATAATAGAAACCTGTCTCATTAATATTATAAATTTGATCAAGAGAATATTGTCTCAAAAGCATATGTAATTTAAGCCTTCTGGAAAAAATTCCAGTGGTGCACTTCCAAACTCACCATGAATATTATATCTTTGGAAATATGATATCTTTAGATATTATTATGTTTTTTAAACTTTTCTAACCAATCATTAAAAAATACTAACTTATTTTCTAGTATATCAAATGCAAAAGCAAACATTTTAGCCTTTTCTTTAATTAGTAAATCTGTTAATATAATGCCTCCTATTATCATATTTTCTACCCACAGATTCATTGCTCAATTTAATGGTGGAAATTTAACTTCTCTATGCCTTTAAAGTTAATAATTTTGAGAATTTTGTACTAGCACAGGTTTTATATATAAATGATTCCAAATTATGTGCATTAATATATATTTATACGCAGAATTTGAAATTATATACATATATGATTCATAAAATATATAAATTGTACATTCATACATATTTTATTTTATTTCTAGTATGACTATTTTAAAAACTTACTTATCTAAAGGTTTGGTTTAAAATTTCAGTATTAGTTACAGCTATCTATTTATTATACTTCTTTAAAATTTTTGATATAGTGCTTCAGTTAATTAATAAATTAGGATATTGTTTATTAAAATGACTATCAATTTCATGTTGTTTTTTATTCTTGTTAGTTTCTGACCATTCACAAATTTGATACTTAAGGTCATTACTAATAGCCATATGATTTTGTTTTTGTTAAATAGACATTTTGAGAATAAGAAAAACTTAAAATCAGCAAATATATATTTAAATATTTATTGGTTTTATATGATTATCATTTGCAGTTAATTAGTTTAAAATTTTCAGATTATATATATTGAAAAAAACATACTAATTTATATGAATTACTATTTTTTATTAAATAAACTACTAAATTAAGAATAGCTAAATGAATTGCAAGATATGTAAAACATAACAACTGATATTGTTAATGGACCCTAATATTTTCACATAAATCAAGAATGTTTTTTCCAGTATCATTTATAAGATTTAAAATACCATTATTGTGATTATGCCAACTTTTTTTTAATTATTTATTCAAAATACCAATTGTTGTTGTCTGAGAATAGTGAAAAATAGGTTAGTTAACTCTAGTCTAATATGATTTTAAACAATCACTTATCATATTTATTGATAAAATGTCTATTGCTTTCTTAGCTGTTAAACTACTTAGAAAATGGGAAGAACAATAAAGTCACTTGAAATACAATAAAGATCAGAAATAACCATTTTTTATATGAATATAAATAAAAAATTTTTAGCTTAATAAAATGTCTTCACCTTTCTAGAATACATCTGCATGTAAAAGCCATTATGCTTTATCAGTTTATCAGTATAGAAACTTGATTTAAATATTTATATGCCATTGGTCAAAATAAAGCACTTTAGGCAAATACTATAGCATTTTAGCCACAATAAGACACTGATTAATAGCTTGAATTGTGTTATTTTTAGATTAATACCAAACTGATAAAGCTATCAAGTTTCAGATAGCTCTATCAGTTTTGATATAAACCTAAAAATAACACAACTTGAGCTATTAATCAATGCCATATTAGAATTAAAATGCTATTAAATTTGCTAATATACTTATTTAACTAGCAAGTCTCATTAATCCCTGCATCTTGCAAGATAATCTAAACTAATCCATAAAAAGATAAACATAATAAATTATATCTATTGCTATTCAGCAGGCAGCGGTGTATTACTTTATGCTGTAAGAATAATGAACTACTAAATAGTGATATGATTTACTATAAATCATCTGACTGAATATTGGCTGCTTTATAAAGCTCATTAATGAATTTATAATAAAGTAAAATTTTATTCTGATTTATTTTTATTACAGTGACTTTTTATACTACTGTAACAAATTAAATTTTGGTTTCTTTATTTTGTTCTAAACTTATATTTTAGTGGTAGCTTTTCCGTATATACATAGTTTATTAGTAATTTCCTGCCCATTTTGATAACAATATCTAATTTTAATAGATTTATTAATTTCTCTTAATTATTTCATAACTTGTACTAGAATGGTAATGATTGGTGGTGTAACTACTTGTTGGATATAAATAATTTGATCTGTATTAAAAATCTAACAAGAGTTAACAAAATTTAAGATAAGTATATACATGGATTCAAGTAATTGTGTTATAATTAGAATAGAATCTTTTACTAATATTGATATATTTAATTTTATTAGAATCAATTTATGATTATTAAAAGAGCATTAACAATAACTTATAAGAAAAACAACATTTGACATATATTTGAATTTGGGTCTTTATTAAGATAAGTAAACTATAGAGAAATGCAATTATGTTAACAATATTAACTAAGACTAACTTATACATTAGTTAGATATATTAACACAAAAGTTATTAAAAAAGAAGTTATTTTTTGCTCTTAAAGGAGTTTAACCATCTTTATTTTTGCTTAGGGAAGCATTCTTTATACTTTATCTTAATAGTTCAAAGCTTTACCTAGTAGTTTCTAGTTTTGCATCTGTTAGTTACTAACTTTTGTACTTTAGTTACTAACTTTTATTTTATTTACATTAGTTATTAACTCTTCTATTAGTTATTATCCAACTCTAATAATTCTAAATTATCCAATTTTGAAACCCTCTATATCACTGACTCCAAAATTAAGAAAAATAAAAATTTTTATTAAATTTCTATTTTGGGCATAACAGTAGCTTAATTATATGAATGTTATTTATGATATATAGAATGTTATAGTAGATATATAAATATAGCTGTAAATAGACTACTTGAATAATTTCAAGGAAAAAGTTTAGAAAATGGAGAAGTAAACGCTCTTATAGCTAAATAAATATAGCCATAGTTGTATAGATATAGCAAAAGCAGTGTTAATATAGCCAAAATCTAAAATATATTTAAAGACCAATAATCGAGGTGTAGTCAAAGAATCTTGCATTTATAGAGGTGTTGTATTTAAGAAATTATAAATTTATAAATGTTATATGAGTTAAACCAAATAAGGTTATGTATTTATGAGGTCTTTATAAACTATGCATTTAGGAAGGTCTAGATATAATTCAATAGCAATTCAGTGTTTTTAATTTAGATCTAATTTCAAAAATTGCTGTAATATAAGATTATAGATTTACATTTTTGTATTAAACACAATAGAGCTTTTGTAACAAATTAGATAGATTAGGTGCCATAGCATTTTTGTAGTCGATTAGATTAATTAGTTAAAATTAGTAATTATAAGGAGGTTTTTTTATTAATAAATTTGACTTAAAAATTAGATCTTAAGGTGATAGTAATTATAAGTGATTTGTGACTATAATGAGGTTTTTTACTATATTTTAAGTTTGTCACACAAAATTAAGTGCTTAAATAGAGATGTGATTATATAGGGTGTGATTATAGGGAGGTCTGACTGTAATTATTTCAATATATAGACAATACACAATCCCTATAATGAAACAATCTTTAACCAAACATGGAAGACTATATATCAACCTAATCTAAGCATTGAAGCTGATTGGTATAACTCTGTTCTTACTGAAATTAGTACTGAGGAAGTTTTAAAAACAATTCAACAACTACTTAACAACAAAGCTTGTGGCCCACTAGAGATAAGCTATGAAATGATCAAACATACTGAGACAAACATGTTGCAATCCTTGACTACACTTTTCAACAGATGTATTACATTACAACATATTCTAAAACAATAAAAAAATAGTAGAATTTTATCTAATATTCAAAAAACCACAGTTTGATAGTAACTTCACAATACACACCTAATTAGTCTAATCGAATATACTAAAAAACTTTATATCAAAATTCTTATCAACCAATTAACACAAGTATTCACAATACATTTTATACTCAATCCATACAACTACATAGTACTTCCTAGCAACTCTACAAATAACACTATACATATCCTTAA